GAGTTTGCCATTCGCCGATCGATTATAATCACAGATCTCTCGCTCACACACTCGTCACCTGCAAGACAAATTGAGCGCAGTTATGAACAGCTGTGATTGTGGGAGTGCGCGTGACTAAATCAGCAGAAAAGATGGGGATCAGTACGTTTCGAATAACGCGCCCGAGTTTAAAAGTAAAAAAATCAACAGAAGCAAAAGTGATGAACTAAGATTAAAGAAAAACAAAGCAGGCTGAGTTCGAAACACAATAAACAACTCAGCTACCCGATAGATTGCAGAAACAGTCATTCTGGGACAATCTAGCCTGCTCAAACACGCTTAAATGAGTACACTGGACGTGGTTTCGGGTTTGAGATGGAACAATTTCAGGGGTATTATGAGGTGTGGTAACAATCCGCTTGTATCTGTACGTGGATGTGCGACTGGAGAGAACGAGATGAAAGTGGGTGGTGGTTAGCAGAAGGGGCAGTATGATGGATGAAGTTAGCACGCCTGAATAACGTGAGAATTAGCGAGAAACCAAATGGAAAGGTTTATTGATTTTGATTTTTGATTTTCCTCAAGCACGGTTATCTCATAAAAATTGCCTCGTGCTTCGCTATCGTTAAAGCTCATTAGTGGTGTATATCCACCGGCCCACCAAGAGTTGAGATATAGTATAGTTCACTGTATGAACTGAGGATATTGAAGTAGAATGCCACCTTCCAGATGACCAACGAAATCATTATTTAACTACTCATAAGTAGTTTAAAGTAAAATGTTAAAAAAACGAAGATGATCCATTTACGCCCAGCCTAGCTCCTGCCATAGAATGTGAATGGCGGACCATTTGAAAACCTGTCCTTAAAATGAAGCGAAATTCGCGAGGTTTAAAATAGCAACCTGTAGTAAGCGACATATCACGTACCAGTTAAAAGGCTTGAGATTCTCTGTCGCTCACATGCAACGAAACCAGCCATGATAGAGGGGTGAAGCCTCAGTAATGTAACCATGATTATATATATATATAATTATCATTGAGGCTTTCAATGAAACGCGAACAGCATAGAAGAATTTCCACACTGAAAAAGTATCTAACCCTTCTAGCTCAAATTTTTATCATTA